CGGCGGCGTCTCCAGCAAGCGCGCTGTGCTCGCGGACCCTCAGCCTCAGGTCGGCGGCAGAGGCCCCTCTGCCACATTGGGATCCCACCAGCCGCTACTGCTGCAGCAGTCTCCTCCCCCTTTCTGTAGCGCAGCTTCCTGCCAGGAGAGTGGCCTCCCCTTCCTGCCAAACACTGGGTGCCCCCGCCCCCCATTCTTAAACCCACCACTGCCTTAGGCATGGGAGGTATTCCTTGGCTCCTGTCCCGCCCCTTTTTAAATTCAGGAGCTCCTGGGCCCCCAACTCTGTCCGTGTCTTTTCATTTCAGGGGTCTTTGGCACTTGGGCTGACCTCTATCTCCAACCTCTCAGTGTTCATACCTATCTGCTTTTTATCTTCCAGGAATTTGTGTTTTCTGTTTTTATTGCCCTTATGGAGTTGTTTATACATAAATCTGCCTTTCTTGTCATTTGTAAGGATTTGGGCTAGGAAGAGAGAAATGTGTTAATTTTGAGTCTGCCATCTTGATCCGATCTCTACATAATGTTTCCTGAGTGGTCATTCTTGGGTTTTACTTTTAAGGATTACTCCTGCCTTTCTTTCTTTTTTCTCTTTTTTATTGCAAATTAATTGCTTGCGCAATGTGAACACTGTGAACATTTCAAAAATTGATAGGAAGAAAATAATCAACTGAAATTCCACTTTCCATTCCCCGGAGCTCACAGCAAAACATTAATACTCATTATTCCTTTTGCCATTTTTTTATAGGCTCTCACAAAACCTGGATATTTTGCATATGCAAGTGCATGCTCTGTTCTTTTCCATATAGAATAAGCACTTTCTCAGGACATTAGATATTTTTAAAAACATTATTTATCTTACTGAGTCGACAAATATTTTTGAGCACCTGTTACATATCTGACTATTTGTCTATAAAACTCAATTTTATAGTGACCACAATTTAACTTTTCCCTCATTACTGAACATTTGGAAAATGTATCCACAATAAATGGTAATGTGATCTACTTATCACAAAGGACATCTTAGGAAAAAAATAACTTTATAAAAAACAGAAAATGACAGTTTTATAATTCAGTAGAAAAAGATCGGTTATTTAAGCAATGCTAAGATTCTTTAAATATTTGGGAAAACAGAAATAAAACCACATGGATATGGGCAAATAATTTTTGACAAAGGAGCCAAAAGCACACAATAGAGAAAAGAAAGCCTCTCAATAAATGATGCTGGGAAAATTGGAAAGCCACATGCAAATGAATGAAACTAGATTACAGTTTGTCCCATGTACAAAAATTAATTCAAAATGAATAAAAGACCTAAATATAAGATCAGAAACAATAAATTACATAGGAGAAAACATAGGTGCTAATCTTATGCACCTTGGTTGTAGAGAACATTTTATGATTTTGATCCCAAAGGCAAGGAAAGTAAAGGCAAAATAAATGAATGGGACCATATCAAATTAAAAAGCTACTGCAAGGCAAAAGAAATTGACAGCAAAACTAAAAGCCCACCAACCAAATAGGAGAAGATATTTGCAAACAACAGCTCCAACAAGATGTTAATATCTAAACTATGTAAAAAAATGCTCATACAACTCAACACCAATCAAACAAAAAATACAATTAAAAAATGGGCAGAAGACCTGAACAGATACCTCTCCCAAGAATACATACAAATGGCCAACAGTTATATGAAAAGATGTTCAACTTCACTAGCTATTAGGGAAATGCAAATCAAAACTACAATGAGATACCACCTCATACCTGTTAGAATGGCTGTTATCAATGAGACAGGTAATAACAAGTATTTGAGAGGTTGTGGGTAAAAAGGAACCTTCATTCATTGCTGATAGGAATGTAAACTGGTACAGTCACTATGGAAAACAGCATGGCGGTTTCTCAAAAATTTAAGAGTAGACATCATATGACTTTTCCTGGGTATCTACCCGAAAAGCTCAAAAAATATTTTCCACAAAGATATATGCACCCCTATGTTCATTGCAGCATTATTCACGGTTTCTAAGAATAGAGACAACCTTTGATAGAGGATTGCATGAAGATATGACACATCTATTATATGGAATACTACTCAACCATAAGAAAAGATGAAATACTACCATTTGTGATAACATGGATGGATAATATGAGACTATTATGCTAAGTGAAATAAGTCAGTCAGAAAAAGTTAAGAACCATATAATTTCACTCATATCCTATATAATAAAAGGCTAATATGCAAATCGACCAAACGGCAGAACAACAGGTAGCTATGATGCACTGACCACCAGGAGGTAGACGCTCAACAAAGGAGCTGCTCCCTGGTAGTCAGTGCGCTCCCACAGGGGGAGCACCGTTCAGCCGGAAGCCAGACTCACAGCTGACGAGTGCAGCAGCGGTGGTGGGAGCCTCTCCCATCTCCAGGGAAGCACTAAGGATGTCTGACTGACGGCTTAGGCCCGCTCCCTGCAAGAATCGGGCCTAAGCCGTCAGTCAGACATCCCCTGAGGGCTCCTGGACTGCGAGATGGTGCAGGCCGGGCTGAGAGAACCCCCCAAGTGCATGAATTTCATGCACTGGGCCTCTAGTGTGGTATATAAAACTGAAACTCATAGACACGGACAATATTGTGGTTACCAGAAGGGAGGAGGTGGAGGGGAGGTAGATGGTAAAGGGGGCCAAATATATGGTGACGGAAGATGATTTGACTTTGGGTGGTGGGCACAGAGTACAATATAGATCATGTATCATAGCAATGTACACTTGAAACCTATGTAACCCAATTGATCAGTGTTACCCCAATAAATTTAATACATTTTTTAAAAAGGAAAAAAGTAGCCCAGCCAGCATGACTCAATGGTTGAGCGTCGACCTATGAACCAGGAGGTCACGTTCGAATCCCAGTCAGGGCAAATGCCTGGGTTGCGGGCTCGATCCCCAGTAGAGGGCGTGCAGGAGGCAGCTGATAAATGATTCTCTCTCATCATTGATGTTTCTATCTCTCTCCCTCTCCCTTCCTCTCTGAAATCAATAAAAACATATTTTTAAAAAAGTTCTCAACATTAAAAATTAATAATAATAATAAATACAAAGGAGAAAAGTAAATATTTGGGAAAATTTTTACACTAAAATGTCCCTAAATCAATATTTGATTTATTAAAATGTAAAATTCAGCAAAATAAAACAGAAGACAAAAACTAATGAACAAAACAAAATCCCAATAAACAGTATGAACATTTCATAGTTACTTATGGTATCTGAATCAGGTGACGGGTCAGATATTAACAGAACAGCTAAGCTTAAGACAATAAAATAATTCCTAAAAGAAAAAAGAAAATCAATAAAAAATTGATTCAACAAAGTATGAAAGAACATTAAAATATTAATGTCATTGAGCATGAGGAATTAATTTCATATCTAGTACTGCTGCAAATGAAAGTTCATACAATTTTTTTTTGTGGGAAGCAATTTTCTGATATATGTTTATTCATGTGAGGGCTTATTTAGTTTTGGTTAACCCTTATTCCTGGGATATCACCTTTGGAGTTCCAACCAAAAGTGAAGGGTGTTTATTAGAGCTCTTGACTCCAATTTCTGTATCCTTAGTTTCAAGGGGAATTCATAAGCTCTTCTGAGCTTCTAAGCCTTTCAGCGATTCCCTCCTGAATAGGTAAACTTCCGCAGGAGAAAAAAAACATCCAACACATTTACTGTTTATCTCTTAGACTTGTTCTCCTTCGTATCCTGGCTGAGTAATTATTTCCTATCTTCTTGGTTTTCAGATGCCTTTGAGAAGATTTATTTTTAACTGTTTTATCCAGCTTTTATTATTTCTTTAATGAGAAAGCTGTTTTGAATTCCTTAGTCTCCTATCACTAAAATCCAAACCCCTATATCTATAATAATAAAAGTGTAATATGCAAATCGACTGAACAACCGAACAGCAGAACGACAGTCCAGACAACCTTCCGGATGACTATGCTATGACATGCACTGGCGCCAGGCCAGCCAAGGTGGGTGCAATGCAATTGGTCTGCAGGTCCTGCCATCACCCCATGATTGCCCCACAGAGGGAGGCCCAGGCCTCTGCACAGTGAACGATAGCGATAGCGGAGCCCTGGCTGGGTAGGCAGGGCCTCCCTCTGCTGGGCCCTCCACAGAAGGAGGCCCAGGCCACCAGCCAGTGATGCTGTGGTAGGAGTGCGGGCCGGCCAGCAATCACCCAGCAGAGGGAGGCCCAGGCATCGCACCCCACGCCTGTAGAGGGAGGCCACTGGTGGTGGGGGAGGGGGGTAGAGCTGCACAGATGGCAAGCAGTGGCAGCGGCAGGGGTGGGGCCAGCTGCCAGCAGTCGGGGGAAGGAAAACCCTGATAGCCCTGATCGCCTGCCAGGCCTAGGAACCCTACCTGAGGGGTCCCGGATTGTGAGAGGATGCGGGCTGGGCTGAGGGACACCCCCCGCCCCCGCACAAATTTCGTGCACTGTGCCTTTAGTTTTATTAT